ACCAGTGCCCAGGGTTGTCTAATGGGGAACGGAGGCTCCAGCACTCAAGGCGGCCACTGGGCTGGCACTTTCCCCGGAGGGAGGGCCCGTGCTCCTGCTGATCTGAGGGCCCACCACACGCAGGAGGGCTCAGCAAGTGTTCGATGAATGAATAAATGGCTGGGCTGGGACCCCACGCTCCTGGGCTTTCCTCTCCTGGCCTCGTGCTACACGGACTGGGGGGAAACATTTAGAAATGCAGAGATACTCACTCCCTCACCAAGGCTCCCAGACAAGCTCCCCAGGAGTTTCCTGTTCTGCCCTTGCTCTGGCCAGAACTCCTCCCCAGGGGAGATGTGAGGTTAATGGCCATCGCTTTCACTACCCCATATAACAACCCAACCACTCAGGTGTTTTAAACACAGAAAAACTGGGCGTTTCCGGCCTGGGCTGGGCAGCAAGAGAGCCCACGTGGTACTTTACGGAATGTGCCGTCTTTTCTCCGTGGGCACTGGATGGGGAGAAGAATCCATCTACCTGTCAGCCCTGACCAGGTCCCCGGCCACAGCCTATTTCATCCTCTGACAGAGCAAGACGATGTCCGGGGAGGCTGAGCACCGCACCGTTGCTGCGGCAGATGATGACAGGTAGGCCTGTCACTGGCAAAGGGAAGGTCTGATGGATGCAGACACTGGGCCTCCAACTGTGCAGCATCCCGAGACCAGACAGCAACCCTTCTGCGAGGAGACCTTCACAGCTGAACTAATTCATCTTGATTTTTTTTAATTTTTACATTTTATGCAGGTGAGGGGGTAGAAGTGGCTGCCTGACTTCCTGTAATTACAAGGCTCATTGAAACATGTCACACGGTGCTCAGGGCAGGTGTGACAGCCAAGGCTTCCAGAAGTAACTGCTGATGGCATTCCAATCAGGAGTCCAAGATGGTCCTGCCCAGTTGGTGGGGAAGGCCTCTCGGCCATCATGGGGTCCCGCCCCCGTCCCCAGCCTACAGGCCAGTGCATGGCAGGGACCTTCTAGGGCAGAGCTCCTCACAGGCATGCTCACTGCAGCAGGCCCCGCTCTGCACCGGGCTCAGCCCTCTCCTCCTTCTCTGCTGAATGAATTCCTCCCTCTCCGCAGAGCTACACACCAAGAGAGTATAATTAGAGCTGCAGGTAAACGAAAACGTGAGGGCCTGAGGGGTAAGCCACCTTAGAAGAGAAGATGAAAAGGAAGAGCCGAGAAACCCAAAGTGCAAAGAGCAAAAACATCACCAAAGTTCCAAACCACTCTCAGCCCACCTGGACCCTGTGGTCTGTAATTGATAGGAAAGCAATGGACATTCCCTGCATCACACATGTGAACGCCCTGCGCCAGAACGCACCTGGGAGAGAGCGGCTCCGGCTCCAGGATTTCCCACTGAGGGAGGGAGACCTCCCACATGCAGTGGGTCTTCCTGGGGAACTGCCTCTCCTCCAGCCAAGTCCCCTCCGGCAAAGGGGACTCATTCTAGAAGGAAAAGGCTTTGCTGAAACAAAGCAACCTCTTCACAAAGGAGACCTAATTACTTGTGCTGTGCAGATGGAACACTGCACAGCAGCCAGTGGTTCTAGGGGCTAAATTCCAAGGCTGATACTAGCCCCACACCAAGGTCCA